TAATTAAAATGTTATACTGGATGGTTGTGTGTTTGAGATGGTTTTCTTTGATTTTTTTTTCAGAATATTCCCGAACTCCCCCGTAGGATACATACACTAGGGCAAGAGCCTATCGCTCATCATAGCATTACGTATCATCCTCAGACGAGGTTGTATGCTGCTCTAAGGGAAGCTCTTAAGGATGAAGAATATGAAGAGCTGAAGGAGTCTAAGTTGGGAGTTTTCATCAAGTTCCAAGAGCTCGATTTTGAATGGGCTTCAAGGCTAGTTCACTACATACTCACTTTCCAGCTCGACATAAAGAAGAAGTATGAGCTGTGGAGTCTTGCTGGTCCAGAACCTTTGAGGTTTTCACTGCTCGAGTTTGAATACATCACTGGTCTAAACTACGAGTACATTCCGGACCTTGAGAGACCAAACTGTTCTGTTGCAAAGGAGTTGGTTGCAATCTGGGAGTTGTTGGGAGTTAATGTCGAAGCTGGGCCAACTACTGATCAGATAATAGAAGCATTTGAGAGATGCGAAAACTGGTCTTCGCATGATCGCAAGCGGCTCGGGTACCTTGCCATCTTGGCTGGATACATTGAAGGGAGGAAGTTTTCAACCCATACACGGGCTTCTCTAGCTAGGCTAGTGATGGATCTAGAACGGTTTGAGAATTATCCATGGGGGAGAGTCGCGTTTAAGGTGTTGATGGACTCTGTGAAGGGAAAAGATCTATCTGGTTGTTACACCATTGATGGGTTTGTACAAGTTCTCCAGGTCTGGGTGTACACATCTTTGCCGGAATTGGGTGCTAATTATGGTCAGCCCATAGAAGACAGCTCTCCACCGATACTAGCTTACAAGGGTGGCTAAGGACGGAATTTTAAAGATGCCATTGACAGACAGGTATTTACTTTACTCCAGAAGCAGACGACTTATGATTAAGTCGTCTGGAAAGTCGTCCAGTCGGACGACTTTCCAGACGACTTAATCATAAGTTTTTCTGCGAATTCTTTTCTTTCCATATTTCTTAATCCGTCAAATATCTAAGTTTATATCTTCTATTTAATGCAGACTACTGCTATGAACTTTGTTGAGAAGAAGAGCATGGCTGAAATGTTTCCGAAATGGGACTCTGATGCTGATGATTCGGCCGCGGAGAACATAATTAAACTCATGTACGTAAAGAAACCATGGAAGTGGACCATGGATTTCTGGGAAGTCACCGGTACTTGGAGATATACAAGGCCGGTAGGAAAGAAAAGGAAGAAAGCGATAGTTCTGGTGAAGGAAGAGAGTCCAAGACCTCTTAAGAAAGTTCGTACAGAGCGTATAGAGGAAGAGGCTGAGGTTCATGCAGATGAAGAGGCTGAGGTCAGACCGAACGTTGGTGAGTTGACCAAAGAGACGTTGGTGGGTTGACCAAAGAGGACGTTGAAAGAATCGTGAAGGATGCTTTGAAAGATTCTTTGAAGGAAGAGAGAGCAAGACCCAACAATGGTGAGTTGACCAAAGAGGATGTTGAAAGAATCGTGAAGGATGCTTTGAAAGATTCTTTGAAAGATTCTTTGAAGGATGTACTCGATGCCTTGAGTCAAGGGTTTGGGACGTGCCTTACGGAGATCAAGTATCTGTCTGAAAGGGTGGAAGCTGTGGAGAAAATCCTTGGTGTCACCAGAAAAGAACAAAAAAAGAGTAAGGGTNGAAAGAATCGTGAAGGATGCTTTGAAAGATTCTTTGAAAGATTCTTTGAAGGATGTACTCGATGCCTTGAGTCAAGGGTTTGGGACGTGCCTTACGGAGATCAAGTATCTGTCTGAAAGGGTGGAAGCTGTGGAGAAAATCCTTGGTGTCACCAGAAAAGAACAAAAAAAGAGTAAGGGTCAAACTGAAGGGGAATGTGTAAGTTTTAATGGGTCGAACGATGGGAAGAAGAGCTTGCCGAAGAGGGGTGAAGCAACAGATTTGTCCGCAGGTGCCACTGCCTCGAAAGTTCCTTTCCAGGAAAAACCTCCAGAACCGAGCCTTCTATCCAACCTTCCATCCAACCTTCCAGATCCAGACCCGAGCTTCGAAATCTTGGAAAAACACCAACCCACTGCATCAGATCGAGTGAGGGAGCGAGTAAGATATGAGCAAAAGAGGGAAGCCGGTTTGGAATAAGTTAGACGTGCCAAGAGTGTGCGAGAAAGGACTCTTGCTGCCTCACAACAGTCTCCTTATACAGCAAACAGCACGGCCAAAATGATCATTCCAAACCCAAACCAAAAAGGCCAAAGTCGAAGCAAAAAGGCCAAAATCGCTTCCAAAAAGGCTCCAGTCTATAATCCGTTTGGATCAGTTAACAAGACCAAACTGAAGCAGCTCGCTGATTGGTTGAAAACTGATCCGTAAGTGATCCATAATAGCTTGCTTTTTAGTCTACAAAACTGATTTCTGACTGAACATTTTGTGTTTGCAGCTGGTATGACACACCTTTCGACGATAAACCACGTACAACGCCAACTAAGTGGTATTACATCCTCCGAGCCTCCTTATCTTGGCTGGATGACTGTGTAAGTGTATCTTCTGACTATAATTCCACGTAGACGACTTACCGTTAAGTCGTCTTCTAAGTATTCTACGTAGACGACTTATCAGACGACTTACCATTAAGTCGTCTGGTAAGTCTTATTTGTAGACGACTTGCCATTAAGTCGTCTGATAAGTCGTCTGTTAAGTCGTTCACAAAGAATACTTAACAGACGACTTAATGGTAAGTCGTCTGTTAAGTCGTCTACGTAGAATACTTACAAGACGACTTACCATTAAGTCGTCTGTTAAGTCGTCTGATATCTTCTGACTTCTTTTATTCTAAATGCAGCACATTGATGCGTGGATTAATGTGCTGAGGAAGAGGTACGCTGAACATCCACAAGCGTTCAGGAGATAAAACGGTCTACTTTTGCTTTTGACCGAATTGTGTCAGATATTTGACTTTTTCTGGACGACTTAAAATTAAGTCGTCCCTGGGAAAGTTAAAATTTCAATATTTTATTAAATCTAGACAACTTAATTATAAGTCGTCTCAGGTTAGTTTTGCAATTCAAAAATAAAACTTAAATTTTTAACTTCTCTAGACGACTTAATTAGAAGTCGTCTGATCAGAAGACTTATGTTAAAGTCGTCCAGAATAAGCAAGGTTTGACCAGAAAAGTCGAAAAATATTCTGGACGACTTTGATTATCCTGGACGACTTTAATCTAAGTCGTCTGAGCGGTCGACTTTTAATTAAGTCGTCTGGAGAAGTTAAAAAATTAAGTTTTATTTTTGAATTGCAAAACTAACCTGAGACGACTAAGTCGTCTAGATTTAATAAAATATTGAAATTTTAACTTTCCCAGGGACGACTTAATTTTAAGTCGTCTAGAAAAAGTCAAATTTCTGACACAATTCGGTCAAAAGCAAAAGTAGACCGTTTTATCTAGACGACTTATAATTAAGTCGTCTGGAGTTTTTTTTTTTAACAAACAAAGCTGGACAACTTAGAAGTAAGTCGTCCGTTTGACCAGAAGACTTATCCGTAAGTCTTCTACATCCAGAAGACTTATCCGTAAGTCTTCTACATCCAGAAGACTTACGGGTAAGTTTTCTACGCGAAGAGATCTGGAAAAAAATTCAATTTCAAACCTTAAACTAGGTGAGATGACTTCCTTTGCACACAGAGTCTTCTTCAACCACCCAGAACATCGAACGAAAGTAACCCACCAACAATTGTATGCTTAAATGGCTCTATCAACCATAAAAAATTTGCTATCAAAAGCTTGAGTTTTTGGCATGAATATGAAGACAAAGTGAAGGAGATGTTGTTTTTAGTTCATAACAATTGAGAAAGAGAGTATGAGTATCGATTTTAAGTGCATTAAAAGCTTCAAACCTTGGTTGTACAAGGTTGTTGGGTTGTACAAGGTTGTTGGGAGTATTCATGGCAATGGCAATGTTGTAAATACTTGAAGATGATGAGGTTGAGAGAGTAAAAAGGTCATNAGGAGATGTTGTTTTTAGTTCATAACAATTGAGAAAGAGAGTATGAGTATCGATTTTAAGTGCATTAAAAGCTTCAAACCTTGGTTGTACAAGGTTGTTGGGTTGTACAAGGTTGTTGGGAGTATTCATGGCAATGGCAATGTTGTAAATACTTGAAGATGATGAGGTTGAGAGAGTAAAAAGGTCATTTTCGAAAAAAGTAAAAAAAAATTTTTAATGGCATTTTCGTAAATAAAATGAAGATGTGGGGTGGATAGGACAAAAACAAGACGAGTTAAAAGAAGAAGTTAGTTTTGTGTTTGACCATGAGTTTTGAGTCAAATTTGCAAAAACCCCATTCATCTATTTACTCTATCTTGTCATATTTAATTTTTGGCACATCTATTTTAATAGAATACATAGTATAATTATAAACTTTATAAAAATAGCATATATTTTTTATTATTTTTTGTTTTATAATAAATATTAAATTAACATTAATTTATAATAATATTAAATTATAATTACGAATTAATTAATGTCTGCTTTTATAAAACAAAAATTTAAAAGATTTGTAGGATTTTGTTAGATTCTTTATCAACAGATTTTATTATAATTAAAATATTAAATTCAAATCTGTAGTTGATTTATTATTAATTTAAATAATAAAATATGTCATATTAACTAATTTTTTAGATGGTCTTAGTATGACTTGTTAACAATAGATAAAATTAGGAATATGTTTTAATAGATTAGATAAGTAGCATTTATACTAAGATTTTTTTTCTTTTGCTTTATTTTATAAAGAAATAAGTAGTATTTATAAAATTTCATTCCTTTTTAGAATATATATATAATCTTCAAAAATGTGAAATATCACATCCAGTATTATTTTACTTTGTTTTGCTATGTGTTTGAGGTTTGGGCTTTATATATAAGCTGTAGTATATATATGTATAGTAAGTTGATATACAAGGGCAAGAAAGACTTGAGTCAATCGCAAAAAAAAGATGAATCTTACTCGAATCGTGAATGCAAGGGCAAGAAAGACCGCTTTCAAGAGGAGGATGCAACGGTTGAAGAAAGAAGCTAAAGTGCTAACTACCTCGGGTGGTTTAGATGTTTGCATGACCTTTTTCAACCGCAATGATAATAAGTTGGTGGTGTGGCCATCTGAGGAGGTGGTTGAATCTCTCATTGACCGTTTTTCCTCATTACCAATCTTCGAGAGGAACAACATGGCAGAAACTCAAGAGTCATTCAATATCAATACCAATATCCAAGAAATTCAAAAGAAACTAGTCGATTGTCGGAAAAGAGTTGCTGAGTTGAAGATGAATCATCTCATCTCCCAACTCGAAAACGGGCGCGGTCTTGATGATCTCTCCCAAACCGAGATTGAGAGTTTAAGATCATACACAGATAAGAAGATTACGGGTTTGAATAAAAAGTTGGGTTATCAGGAACATGCTTATACAAGTGTCAACAAGCCATTTCTGAAGGATGAGACCCCGAAGGTGTTGGATGGACCATCTGCGCGTCAGGGACATTGTTCTAGCATGATGGGAAGTGAAAGTATGTATTTACTGGATAAATGGTTTTTGGATGATCCAAAGATCCAAGAACATGGCGATGGGACTCACGTAATCACAAAGACTCATGGATTCGACCTAAACTTGGAACCATCTGATGACGAAGAGGACATGTCCACTGTAACAGGATAAACTGTTATCCTTTTGATTTAGTTCTTTAATATTCGGTTTAGCCTTATGGTTTAGTCATTTGGTTTACTAAAAACTCTATGTAATCATTTTCTCATTATGGGAGAATTAATCAATCAAAATAATTAACTTAATCTCTTAATCTCCTTCTCTCTATCGTCATCATCATTCATCCATAACATCATCAACCACCATCACCATAAAAATCCTTGTTCTAGAGATGATCCTTCTTCCTCAGTGATCTTCTCCTGGGCTTTGATTCACTACTCTTCGGATCTTCGGTGGATTTCTATGTTGGATTTATCTTTATCTTTATTTTCCTGTCTCATCCACCTATAAAGGAGAGAGTAGCGAGCCTGATGGTGAAAGCGATGCCTAATGAAATAGCTGTCAAAGAAATAAATTAATTTGTCTTGGAATAAAGTTGTTGTCTTTTTTTTTTTTTTTTTTGCTAAACTTGTTGTTGTCTCGTTTGTTGTTGAGTCTTTCTCATTTTTATTTTCTGGCTGTATTCTTGAATTCGTGTCTTTTTTTTTTTTTTTTTTTTTTTTTTTTTTTTTTAGGAAATCCATTTTTATTAATTCTTCCCGAAAGGGCATCATTACAAAGGTTGCAGCTCGGATTCAAGCAAAAATTCGGTACAATACTGAAATTAGCCGATCCAACTATTCGAACTACACAGCCAAGTTGTGGGCGCAACTCCGGGTTCTTTCGTCATCACTACCTTTCCCAGTTTAATCCGGTTAGGAGCTAAAAGCATCCCACTCTCCTCCTCACCGAAGCCTTTGTAGTCCATGAAGCTTGAAAGAGTAAAAGAGGAGGCCGATAAACATACCTTAGAGCTTCTGTGACCAGGTTCCAGGCGCAGCCTCCGATAAAATAACAAGTCGGTAAAGAGACCCTACTTCCCCTGTTAAGAGATGGAAAAGATCCCACCGCAACAAATACACAAACAGACAAGCCAAGCAAAGCACAAGACTCTGCTGACCCAAGCAAGAAACGGGCCGATATCATCGACGCTGCAAACCTGACAGCCTCTAGAACCTGCACGGTAAAGTCCAACACACCACCACAGAAATCAAGTGAAAAACCATGGAGCCGGGATGTGAGCGGGACCAAAGGAGACACCGAGACGGTCAATGACAACCGGAGAACCGTCTCGCACTTTGACGCCTTCAAGAACTGAAAGCTAATTTACCAGGCTGAGAGAACCCGACGCCGGTGTCAGCGGAGCCAGAGCAATTATAATCGAGACAAGATCAAAGAAAAAGCCAACGCCTTCACTTGATTAGACAGAAATGCAACCGTGAAGAGGAGATTTGTGGTGAGGAAGCGCCTCAAGAAGCCTCCAAGGGGCCATAGACGACCTCTGAAAAAACATCTTGGACGCCTACACGAGCCGAAGTTGAGCGGAACACCATCACTGCCTGCGTGTTACCACCCACGACTCGCCACCGAGTTAGCAGAAACCTCCGGAGCACACTAGACTACGGAGCAGAGGGACCTGTTCTCGACGACCCGCAGAGAACCGGAGACACCAATAGCCGCAGCCGGAGAAACACCAGACGAACGGCAGGAAAGCCGCATAACCGAGCTGAGATTCAACCATCTCTTCCCCTCACGCTCGAAGAGATCTGAGAGAGATCGAAAGAGAAAATAGATCTGTTCCAAAGCCCAAAAATCCGACCACTGCTTCAACCTGCAACCACCACGACCTCGCTGCGACTCCAGAGATAGCTGAACCACCACCTGCGACTCACCCCTCTCGAGCGGAGCTGTCAACGGAGCGAAACCCTAAGCCAGAGCCACACGCATAACCGGAGGAGAGGAAGAAGGCGACGCAGAGGCAAAGAGAAGACAAGCAAGGGAGGAGAAGAGCCACCGGCGTCGGCACGCGCTCGGACGCGCCGCCGGACGCCGGTGGAAGATTAAACTTTGTTTGTTGGCTTGAGAGAGATACGGGGAGGTGAGAGAGATACGGGGAGTTTTTTTNCCTAAGCCAGAGCCACACGCATAACCGGAGGAGAGGAAGAAGGCGACGCAGAGGCAAAGAGAAGACAAGCAAGGGAGGAGAAGAGCCACCGGCGTCGGCACGCGCTCGGACGCGCCGCCGGACGCCGGTGGAAGATTAAACTTTGTTTGTTGGCTTGAGAGAGATACGGGGAGGTGAGAGAGATACGGGGAGTTTTTTTTGAATTCGTGTCTTTGTTTGTCATGTCACCTTAATTAATGGAATAACTAGGATAATACCTGCACCTTGATCAGAGTAAATCTTATATATTAAAACAGAAGTCATTACTTAACTTCATGTGTATTTTTTTTAAAAATAGACTATTACTAGAAAGTCATTTACATTAATTCTTTAATAATTTTATCATTATTATATCTTATGAAAAAATCATAAATATAATAACAAAGATATGTTTAACAATTTTGTTTGGGTAAATTACCCCAAACCTTCCAACTTAGTCACGCAAAATATGTCAATAGATATAAGTTTAGAAATATTCTATTATTTATAAGGAAATATGTCAATAATAGTGAAATGCATCCACAATCTATTAACAAAAATCACAAATTCGTAATATGGAATATTTATATACCATAACAAAATTTACACGTTATATATAGTAGATAAATTTATTTCGATTTAAAATTTTAAAATTATTTTGTTTTAAAAAAACAAATTGTTTAAAAATTTAGTTTTTAATAAAATTATTTATAATATTAATTTATGAAGCTATAAGTTTAGTTTTTAGCAAAAATTTCTTCGAATTTTATATTATCTTTGCAAATTAAAGTATACATATATTTAATCAAACTATATTTCTATTACTTTATCTAAAAATGACATACTAATCTATCAAACAATAAAATATAGAAGAAGAAACAAACACATGTTTGAAAAACATATATAATATATAAAATTTGGAACAATATATTTGACTAAAACACATATTATATAATATTATTATGTTTGAAAAATATTTACTATACATATCGTAAATATGTGATTACTATAATATATACCAATTTAAAAGTGAAAACAAAATTTTTTATATAACTAACTATAAACGAAAAAAACACCCGTGCGGTTGCGCGGGTCAAAAACTAGTGTATGTAATTAAAATGTAAAATTTTAGTATTGACAAATTTAAAATCTACATATAATTGTTTTTATATGTATTTAAAGTTTTAAAATTTTGGAATTTTTAAATAATTATCTATACGTAAGATCCGAAACAATTGTAATTACAACTGTAGATCAAAGCTTAGAATTTAATAGACCCGATTTCATATATCTTTTCACTTTTAGTGCTCGAGTGATGGAAAATAAACGGAGTGTCACTTGGCTTGATTGGTAGAGTATTGGCAAGTTCTCTAATGCTTTCTTAAGAAGCATTTGGTAGAATATTTACATTTAGAATATATAAAGTTTCAAAACTAATTTAATATAATTTATTTATTTGTCTAATAATATTAGAAAAATATATTTTTAACAAATATATTTTAAAAAAAATTATTTTATAAATAATTAGTTAAATTTTAAATTATTTTTTAAAATAAAATTATTTTTAAAAACAATATTTTAAGTTTTTCAAATAAAAATTAACCATTTAAAACTAATTATGGTCATGATTTCACATAACCATAATGATTTAAAAAATTAAAAATTTAAAAAATTAACAAATTAAAAATTAACTCAGTTTTATATCATGATTTAAAAATATAAAAATTAATTATGGTATGAGAATTTCACATTCACGTGTCAATCCTATTTATCTTCAATTTTTTCTCGTGTTGTGTTTTTTTTTTGTTATTACTAGATATAAATATTGATTTTGAAGTTTATTCTCATTTCATTTGTTTGTTTTGATCTAGGATTTAGAAAATACTTAGGATTTAAAATAATGAAAGAGATACATACTTATGTTAAGATCTGCATCTTATGCAGAATAAGTATTTTATATTTATTATTTATGTTATATTTTTTTGCATGTTATAAAATAAGAATATGTATATTAAATAACTAAGAAATCAGTTACTATTAGATAATAAATTGGTGTATGCATATAAATTTAACTATCACTCTTGTTTATTCGCAGTTACGGTAAATAAATCAAAACAATCAATCTTATATATCGTATATGATATATAATTAAATTTAAATGATATAAACATAGTAATATAGCACATTTTTAATATGAATATTTACTAAATGAGGTTTCTACTACGATTTTATGATTATTTGCATATTTGTGTAACAAAACTTTACACCAACAATTATTTTTTTAATGTGAGATGTTTATTAGTTTCAATAATTTATAATTATTTTTTTTAAAAACAATGACATATTTCAAAATTAAAATATTAACTTTTCAATATATGTTCAATGCAAATATCAAAATATAAGTATGTACTTTTTTACGATGTATAGTTTAATTTAAAGGATATGAAATATATAGATATATTAACATAAAACCTATTAAAATAAAATTATTTCTTCATAAGGTGTTATAATCATTATATTTTAATATATAAAAAAAAATTAAAACCTTGATCCTAAAAGTTCATGTGAGACTTTTAACAGTTTTAGTGTTTTATACTCATTTTGAAAATTTTAAAATACAACATACACAAAAAAATCTAGATTTTTATATATGATTAATGTAATTGTGTAATTTATTTTAATAATAAAGAAATAAACAAAATGATAAAAAGTATACATATTGTTATCAAATTTTTATTGTTTAAAATCATTAATTGCCATATATATATTTTGATCATATTAATTCCGTAGGTTTTATTTAAGGAAATCGTGCGAAATAATAGATAGTTGATATAAGCGCCCAACTATAGCTTACGAAATATTATATTGTTAGAGAGTATAATTTTTAGACTATACTTTAAGTTAGAAGCTCTAGAATCATCTAAAATATTAAAACTGAAGTACAAAAATAAAATAACCCAACCATTTCCTCCAAAATTACATATCTATGCCACTGAGTTAAACACAGCCGTTTTATAACTTTTCCTAAACCATCCTAAATAATTGACGTCACTTAGCCTCTTAAATAACTTGTACCTAAACCTAATGAACAGAAATAACATCATTCTCGACAAATTAGCCGTCGTCTCAGACCTTTGAACAAAAAGCCATGAACATTGATAAGGAAGCAACCATCGGTGGAGATGAAGATTCGAGTAACAACTTCGATCTCACTAGCTGACATATCCACAGATTCTACGGGAACTTCGTGAGATTCCGGCGTCGGTGCAAATCACACCCAACAGATTCTAAGGGAAGTTCCGGAGATTCAAGAGGCCCACATCTTTCCGCCTAATCAGAAAATTATATGTTCTGTTGAGCTTTATAATTTCCGACTACAGATATGACGACAAAAGCAATTTGAGGACCAGATTGACTGAGCTTTCCAACTCAATGCTAAGACATAGAGGTTTCTTTAGAGAACTTCCTATATTTTCTAAGGTCTGGCTGCTATATGCTATTAAGGTTCTTCCATATATCTGCATTTTGATAGTTTTGATGATTTATAACCAAAACCATTTCTGAATTCTCTTAGTGCTGCGAAAATGATGTTTTGATAGCATAGATGTATGTCCATGTGAAGGGTGGAAGTAGGTTTGCAAAGTCTGCATCACACTTGTCGTACCTTCCTCTCTATATCAGCATGTGTGAGGCTTTACCATTAGTGTTTCTTGATGTGTTCATTCCTTTTAGCAAGAGTACATATGTATATATGAGTTATGAGGTCTGAGATGCCTATTTTTCTAACCTGTTTTACCATGTGAATAATTTGTAGAGTCTGAAATATATCAGAAAATGTTGGCAAAAACGCCTGCGAAAAGTTAGAGGCCAAATTGATGATCGTTTGACTCTCTTTTGTTGTTTGGGTAGTCTTATATTTCCCTTTACTTACATTTTAACGTTGTTTAGCTGTTAAAATACTTCATATCAAATTGGTATTAAGTGGTATTGCTGGCTTTTTGTCTCAAATAGCTTTGAAGTTATCTTTGTCACAGTGTACACTGCACCATTGTTTTTATAAAGAATATTAGGTTTGGTCAGTTACTCTAGAAAAATATAGAAAATATGTAACTTAAATGTATAGAAAATATATGATAACATGTGGCTCAACATTGAGTTCTCAAGCTTTTCCCTAGCAAGAAGTGTCAACAGCAACTTCTAAACGTTAAACATTCAAAGCGCATGCATGTTCGGTTTTATCATATGATTGTTAACTTTCTTTGATGTACCACTCTTCATGTGTTACTCAGCAAACACTTTTATCATTTTATAGTGACCGAGTAAATGTTTGTAGGTTTCTATCTCTGCAATTTCTTCTCTTCAAGGTCCATCAATTAAGTAATGTTTAAGGGGTGGGATTGATAAACAATTGATAAAAAGTTATTAAAAGGATGAGATATAATTTTTTATATTGTTTCGATACAATTTTAACTATAGTGTTGTTTGAAACATGGATAGTAATATAATGAATGAAATATTAGTTATAAATCTATATTATAATGATTTAGTTTAAAGGCTCCTTAAGGTGTCCACATATGCAGATTGTGGGTCCACATTTT